TAAGATAAAATATCCACAATTTTGGATTTTTTAACTTTCTTAGAAATCATTTTTTGCAGTGCATACATTTCAATGGTTGCTTTATACTACACTGCAAAACTGATTTCTAAGAAAGTAAAAAAAAACACATTTTAGACATTTTATACATTTTTTGTCTAAGAAAAAAAAAGAAAGAAAAAATCTAACGTTAGATTTAGTAGCTATTTTTAAAAATTTTAGCCTAGCAAAATTCTTGGCAGATTTTTTTTACTCAAAATGAGAAAATCTCAATCACATTTGAGAATATTTACCTTATTTGAAGTATTGCTATTTTTTACATAAAGTTTATTTTACTATTTAGTTTAAAATTAACATAAAATGTCTTAAAATGAGACTTTTCACTTTCTTAGAAATCAGTTTTTGCAGTGTAAACAATGATGCACTACTGCCTTATAATGACGCCAAATGTCTGAAAATAAGTGCAGAAACATAAAGTCTGCAGGTGTTTCTGGTCACATAGTGTCTGCACACTAAAGCAAAGATTAAGCACAGTGTATTTTATGTTTTATATTAACTTTGATCATTTTTTTGTACTATTAACTGGACAAAGAAAGTCATCTTGAACCTCTTATTGAAACAACTGTTGGGCTGTGCAGACAGAACCTTTTACAGAAGCAGCAGGAACCAAATTACTGCAGGCTGGCAAGAAATGTCATCCAAACATGAGCGGTTGCAGCAGTGACATTGGTTTTGTTGTAGAGCTGAAAGCTGTGCTCTGAATCCATCTGCACTCGTGTATTCTGGTGGTGTTCATACAGCTTCCCCCTGCAGCCGCCGGTCTTTAGTTCGTTCTAAAACTTCATCTCATTGACATGTTAATTAAAGACGTGGTGTCACGGCCATGGAAGGGTGTTGCTCAGGTGTTTTTCACTGCAGGGATTTGTGAAATTACCCCTTCTTTGTGCCACGCCATGAGCTGAGTGACTTTTGTGACTCGAGTCGGGAAACTTGAATGTGTGTGTGCGTGCGTGTGTGTGTGCGTGCATGTGTGTGTGTGTGTGCGTGCGTGCGTGTGTGTTGCACGTGGATCCTGCCTGTATTTTAATGTTGTAAATGAATCCGGCTCATCTGCTTAGTTAGCGTTTGAAGATTCCTGACAGCCTTTCCTGTCGTGTTCTTTAGGTACAACACCTGATGGCCCTTGTGTTAGCATAACTCTTTGATTTAATTTGTTTTCAAACTATTAAATCTGTACCAGGAAACCACACAGCCCCGTAGTACTTATCGTTAGGCTTTTTGGGGGAATTTGTATTTAACAAGCACACTTTTGACCTGATTGTTGGCAGCAAATAGTACCTACCCTGATGAAAATGTTAGAATTTCAAAGGAAAACTTTGGGATTGGTCCTCAACTAGAAGAGAACCAGCTGCAGGCTGGAGATAAAGGATCTTGTTCTGCAGCAGATGCAGATGTTGTACACAGTTTTGTAACAGCTTCTGACATCCTCTTTGGTTAAGACCTGAGGGCAACTAGCAAAATAGCAACTGAACAAGTTTCCTCCTCGGAGTGGCGGAGGTCTCCCTCTGGGATAGGGTGAGGAGCTCAGCGTGGTTTGGACTTCTAATGAAGTCACCGTCCAGGGATGATGTTTCAGACTGAATTAGGCCTGGCTCACATGGCTGGCCCTGCCCCGCCCCTTTGGCCAGTCTTATGGACTTGTTCTACTACTGTGATGGCTCTAAAGATAATCTTTTCAGACAGTCCTACCATGTGTGGTGCTCTGCGTCCTGACCTCTCTGATCACACATCCAGGATTTGAAACATGTTGGGTACTCCTGGTCTGATTTTCAGGGACAAACGAACACGCTGCACGTTCCCATTGACTCCCATGTTAAAATTCAAATTTCACAGCTGAAATAAACATGTTTACAGCCTGGTTCAAAAAACATTTTAGGTTTAATAGATCTAGTTCATACTCTTGACAACTCTGAGGGGGGCGAATGTTTTGTAACTCTTCTGTTAAACTGTAATTAAATGCCTAAAATTCTGAATAATTAATGAGCATCAGAGCCACGTCAGAGCTAGCGCTGGGAGCTAGCTCCAAGGAAAGGCCTCAGCCTGGGCCTCATGTTAATAGATGTTCGGCCATTTCCACTCTCTGAACTTTAGCTGTGTCCTTTGTGTGTTCGTGTTTGGATGTTAATCGTGGAATTATTCAGACAAATAGGGCAAACTGGGGTTATTGACTTCTCTAACAGATCATCCAAGCAGTGTCTGCTACTTTTTTAATCAGTAACATTATATTTCTGTCATTTCTATATTCTGCTGGTTGAATGAAGGGAAAATGCTGCTTTCGCGAAGATGGGTTGCAGTATAACGTGTTGGTAGGGCTGTCTGACTGGGTACCGAAACTCGTAAGCTGCTAGCTAGCAAAAGCTAAGGGGCTTCGCTGCTCCACTGCGGTCAAAGATTGGCGAGGTCACCACTGCAGAGAGGTTTGACGAGTTTCGGTAACGTGCTTCTCCCTTTAACAGCACAGCAGCAATCCTGCAATCAGAGATCCGAAAATCTGCTGCTTTAACCCTTTGGGCCCTGGGCCTTTTTTCTTTGGGCCCTGGTGCCTCCCAATCGGGGTCCTTTGGACCTTCATGTCCCAAGTGTCAGTGATGGTTTGCGTTCCCCGAGCACGGCTACAGCTGCAATCAAACCAGTTTAGATTGTAAACAAAGCAAGTTTTGGTTTTTGATACATGAAGATAAAATAATACTTGAACTTTATTTTAGAAGAGCGGCTCTGTGTGAACGGGCTGACAGGATGGAGGTTGTGAGTTCAAATTCCATTTAGCAAATTTAGTCAATTGTTTTATTTATTCCAGGGGTCCTCGACTAACTTTGTTGAAGGTTTTTCTTTTCCAGCAGACACCACTGAAGGTCAGATGCTCTTCTAAAATAAAGTCCAAACATCACTGTATCTTAATTTATTACAATTTAAAACGGCCTTGTTTCCCATCTGGGCTGTTTGAGTGTGGGTTTAGTCGTGTTTGGAGAATGTGGACAGCTGTAGATGTTTGGGACATGAAACTGTAGAGGCCCCCGACTGGGGTCGTTAGGGTTAAACAGGTTAACCTTGCGTAGGAAGCCCAGCAAGGCGGGGACCCAGCCCAACCTGGAGTTGGCCACAAGCTCCCATCTTCCTAACCACAAAATTCCACCATCTCCGGTCCGCCCCTGCCCTCCGCAGCCGCTCGCTTCCCAACTCAATTTTTACTGGTACCCGCTCTACAACGGCTCCGCTCCGGTGCGGAGACCTGAGGTGCGCAAACAAGCATGCGCGGGATTTTCGAGATCTTGCGATACAGTCCGAGCAATAAATGCGGAAGTTAGATCCAAACACCCGTTGTGTGGGAGAAGCATCGGCATGAACTGTTTAATCTGCCCATCATGTGTGTTGACAGATCAGCAGTGTTTGGATCAACAAAGGGTGACTACTTTGATAGTAGAAACTGTATTTATGGCTTACTTTTGTGCATTTAAACTTCAGCCGCCATTGATAGTTGTTAAAAGTTGTTAAACCTGTGCATATGAAACAAAAAACGCCTTTTGTTTATCGATTTATTGTGAAATAACGGAAATTGTGCTTGCTCCTTTTCCTGTTGGGCCGTTGTGGTTTCTGTCCATTTACTGCGGAGGTGCTCCGGATCCGGCAAAAAGACATGCCGTGCGTCCTCTGGCGTCCATGCTAGGTTGTCGTTGTGCTGCTCAGCTGTGGAGCTCTCGGAGGGAGTTTACAGAAACACTGCTGCTCTTTGAGTTGATTTCGGAGTCGCTTCACCGTGTTTCTCTCCCTAATAGCTCATTTGCATCGTTTTATCTGTTTCCTGTATCCTAATGTAATCAGAGTCCAAATACTAATTCAGCCAACGCCAAAATCATATTTGAGTCACTCTGAAAAAGTTATAAAAATGGCCGCAGCCCTCTAATTATCTAATGTAGTAATCTGTTCGTTGTTTTTGTCTGTATTTTACTTTAGAACCTATCCAGGGTAAACGTTTAGCTGATCAGCTCTTTAAGGAGATAAAAACAATAATTTATTGTGATAAATGTTTTTGAAGCAGAGTCAGACAAAACAAGCCAAGTTTGAACATGAAACCATCCCTGACCACAAGACAACTCACAAAAGGAAGACTCGTGAGTCATCCATTAGTTTTGTTTTTGTTGTTAGTAGAAAATAAGAGATGATACAAACATATTTGGATGTCCGTTAACTTTTAGATGAAGGGTCATTTTCTTTAGGAATCCACAGAAAAACCATGTAGACAAAAGAACGCAAGAACTTTATCTTTCTGAGTTTCACAGAAACACGAACAAGTGGAGTGAGCTGAATGTGACTGAGCTGATCTAACACAAGGTCTCTTGTGTTTTTGTGTTTCTTATGTTCCGTTTATGTGAAACCTGTCTTCTTCTACCAAAGACAGCAGGAAGTGTTTGAGTAAAACCCACAGCTGCATCAGCAGGAGGGTTTCACCTCACACACACATTAGCATATCCAAAACACAGTGCCTCCTTTTGGTTTTCTGTTAATTAACCCCCTGTTCCTTTAACAGGCATGACCAGGATAACCATCACTGGTCTGAAACCCGAGACAACCTACGAGGTCAAGATGTTTGCCATCAATGGCAAAGGCGAAGGCGAGAGCAGCCTCGCCAGCACGTTCAAGACCAAGCCAGTCCGTAAGTGCCTCCCCGCTCTAAACCAGCACCCCCACACACCCCTCCTCTCGCCCCCAGCACTTTGAACCTAATGCTGTAGCTCACCCCACCGCCTCCTCGTGTCTAGCAGATGCGTCCATCCCCAAACTGCTCTATGCTCACACCAACTCAACTCCTTTTTCCAGCCCAGCAGGAGGGAGCAATAATTCACAAACACTTCATAACTCAGCTGCCAAACAGTATTAGCTCTAGGAAGTCCAACCTGTATATCTTTCATAACTATGCAGTATTACTCTACGTTTTCCTATCCTCGTAAATGTATGCAGCGTGTAAGGCAGACAACACGTCGGTGTTCTCGGAGCCCACAGCTGAAGGAGATTTAGAGATTGCTTTTCTGGAAAGTGCTTACTGATTTACACTTCAGTGTGAGGAGATGTCAGCTCTGTATTCATACAGTAGATCACTGACAGCGTGCACTTTTGATGTCGTAGCCACGGGTCAAGCCTGCTCGAGATAGTTTAGACTTTCTGTTGGGGATGGCGGCACGTGATGGAGCGTTGAGGCATTTTTGAGGTTTTTGTTCCTGGTTTGGATCAAAAGGAGTGAAGCTACCTAAGAAGCAGGCAGATGAAAAGGGTGTTTTGGACACTTAGAAGTGTGTGTCGGTGTAAAGGGTATAAATAATTACCATCTTACCCGCTGCAGATAACACCTCAGGTAAATACAGTTCAACAGGACTGATGGGCTAACGGGTAGCAGTGGCGGTTTTACCATTAGGCATAGGTCAGCGGTTGCCTGGGGCCCCCTTATGTTGGGGGGGGGGGGCCCTAGCCCTGACTGCTGGCACCCCTCTGTTAATGCCACAATGGACTATTCCTTTAAGATGCCGATGCACAAACAGGAAGTGATTGGTAGTCATTCCACTCCAATCCAGTTGGTGGTGGTAATGCACCAAATTGTTGTTTGCCAAGTGCCACAAGACCACAAATAAGAAGATGAAGAGAGGCGGGAGCGTTCGTAACAAACTCGAAGAAGTAGTGAAAACATGAAGCATGAAACTGAGTTAGTGGCTCCAGTAAGAGGAAGAAGCAGCTCGCTTTAAAAAAGCTTTTGTCTTCACTTCCAAAAGTGACGTCGTTTTTCTATGTAAACATCAAAGGAAGCAGAGAGGAAAGACAATGGAAAATGTTTAAAGGAGGAAAACATGGACCAAAATGGAAAATAGAAGAAGAAAAAAAGAAAAGCAAAAGCACAGGAGCGCTGACGGGAAGAAGGAAGCACTCAAAGGGAGAGAAAGACAGGAAAAAAGAGGAGGACTAATAAAAAGTGAAAATAACTCGTGTCAGAAGAGGAGAGAGTTTCGCAAATCCAGTTAAAGATCAGATCGTCGAAAATTTAGAGTACGGGGGCCCCATGTCTGTGTTCGCCTTGGGCCCCCACTGATGGGTAGTTCAACACAACCTAAACCAGTGCTCCAGATATTACATCGATTTATGCAACATTTATTTTTTGAAAGTATACAAGTGAAACTGGAAAAGTTATAATATGGAATTGCGGACACAAGAAATTTCAGAAAACGTGTGGGAATTTTATTCCAATCACCATTCCCAATTCATCACCAACAGCTGCAGCCAAGTGAGAAATTCATGTAACCCACTTGGATTATGACGCATATCTGATGCCCCAGACAGCCCTGACAATAAAAAGTTATGATTTGAGTTGCCGGTTTTATTCCTAGCAGCACCTGAGACATTTGGAGGATTGCTGTAGACAACCAAAACATACGAGCTTATGTTTCATAAAAGGAAGCTCTTTATCATCCGTAGCCGATAAGCTGTCAGCGTATCGCGGCTTGTCTGATGCATCAGTATGGTGTGTATAAGGAAGTATGAAATAAAACGATTCATGTGCAAACACACCTCAGAAATATAAAGAAAGATATTTCACTTGTTATTAAATAATAGGCCATGGCAGCATTTCCTTCCTATGTATTCATGGGGTTGCTTTAACCAGGCTGCAGTTAGGAAGCAGCCCACCTGTTTATTCAGTCAGAGTCTGAAGTCAGGGTCATGAATAAATCTTTGTTTTACTTTATCAGCCTCTGTGTCACGCTTCCATCTGTGCCTCTTCACCTCACTGCTCCCGTAGAAAAACCCTCTTCATCATCCTCCCCATCCTGTCTGATTCAATCCGGTTGGTTTCATCAGATGTTCGGAGCTATAGAACGGCTGTTTATCGCTCCATTTCATGAAAATGAGAGCCGACGCTGAAGGATCCGATGACATGCTGCGTGTTTTAGATGTGGTTGTATCTTAGCTGCTTATCCAGTGTGTCCTAAATATCACTGAACCGTTATCTTTACCAAGGTCCTCAAGCCACTGAAAGGGGAATTTTCCAATTTGTAAGCTGATATTTTCTTATTAAAGAATGAGATGAAACCTGGAGAACAAGAGGAGGCGACTACAGAGTCTGGAGTGAGGCATTATGGGAGTATGACACAGGGTTAATGATGTGGCAGGACAGAGTTGCCCTCTTTCAATGATCACATTTCTCATCTCCTTGTCTTTTGTTCTCTTTGTGTTATTGTTTCCGTGTGGTTTTTCATCTGTTCTGTATTCCGCCGGACTTCTCAGAATATTCTCTCACAAGTAAGTTTTTTCCATCCTGCCCTGCTCTATTACATTTCCGTCTACATTTGTCTTTGTTGCCATGGCACTGTCTCCTTCTTGACCATCTTATCAATACTAAACATATTTAATGAAGCCATCGATCGCAGGATTTCTTCCAGGAAAGACTGCAGGGACATGATGATCAAGTACTCCATCAACACCTTTTCAGTCATTGTTCTGCTGAACTTATTGTGGAAAGTCCTCCACTTTACTTTGAAAGGAGGTTCAACCTTTAACAGCTCAGTCGCTGAATGTTGGATTCTAAATTGAAGGAAGATGTTCAGTTGGCTAGGAAACGTGTCCATTAAGAATTGATGCATAATGTCAACTTGTCAAAAAAGTTCACACATACACCCATAAATATTTAGATCATGATTGCTAAAATGTATTTAAACCGCATTAATAATAGTGTTTTGTTGGGGGCTTTAGGTAAGAAAACATACGTGTCTCAGAGCTAATACTCCTTCATGCATGATGTATGTCGGCATGGTCTTTGGATGACTGAGCCAGTAGAAGGCCAGTACAATCTATCCTGAGTTCCTGCACTTGTGATTTGATGTTTAAAGGGGCGTTATGGAAGTGTGACAGCCAAAACATGTATAGAAATAATAAATGTCTTCTTCATACGTTCTCCTGCAACGCCCTGGTCCTGTAGAATGAGCCCTGGCATTTTTACTGGGATTGCCTGTTTTTCTGTAAAATGACAGAAAAAGAGAGATGCTCGGGTCGAGCAGGCTGCTTCATGCGCGTTCACGCTCAGTCATCGCCCGTAGCGTTTGCTATCCGTAGCTTTAGCAGCAGAGAGAGAGGCAGTGCCACTTTGTCGCTGTTCCTAACGCCTAGTGACAAAGCTAGCTACATTTCTGAGGACCCTTAGCTACTTTCTGTAGAACTTTCTTCTAGAGATTTACTGCTAATTAGCAACAAAACAGCCATTTTCACTCCGAACCGTTCTTTGGTTTGACGTTGTTTCAGCTGTCATCAAGGATATAAATGTTACAGATACAAAAGATGCTTCTGGTGCTTTAGCTGACCCAGTAAGACATTGGACTCTCGTGCAGGAGATCTGGGTTTGATTCTGGATGTGAAAGTAGTTTATTTAGAGTTTCTTTTTTACATTAATGGTATATTTTTTTACAGTAAGATGCCCAAATTTTTTTTTTTTGAGACTCGCCGAACGGCATTGAATTCACAGATAAAAAAGATGTGGGTTCAACTTTCATTTTGGAACAATTTTTCAAGCAAGGGAAGGGAATGATCTGAGCATGCAGGAGGACTGACCCATCATAAACCTTTGTCGGCTGTGCTGAAGAGAAAGCTAAAGAACCACATTATTTAATTAATTAGCTGCGTGTTCTCCTGTCCTCTGTCCTCCGGGCCACACACACACACACACACACACACACACACACGGGACTGTCTCAGCTGTTATTTTCGTTAAGGAGTGTGCACGTACAGCACGCGCGCCTCGTGCACGAGCCTACTATTGAAGCTGCCGTTACGCTTTTGGCCTGAGGGGGCAATCGCGAGCATAAAAATTCAAAACTCCATAAAGTCCCTTTAAAGAGACAATGTGCAGTTTTTACCATTAATTTCTGGAAATTTCCATCAAAATGTTGTTGAAAAATATTGGTGGCTTTGTAACATATAACCACAAATATCAGGTCCAAAATAAATGGGAGTGGGTCTAAGTCTCTGGGCGATGTCATATTAGATGCCATGTTTCCTTCTACAGGAGCCCATGAGGACAAAATTAATTTACTGATTTGTAACAAATGGTTCCAAAACTTTCACCATTCTTAAACGTTGTTGTTTTACACATTTACCTCTTTACTTGTTGCCAGAGATGAAAGGGAGTCTGATGTGTGTGTTATTTTGCTGAAGTTTGCACCCCCCAGAGCTTTTTGACCCTAATGAGCATCCATTGGTAAGGTCTTACTCCAACTCAAAAATCCTGCTTGCTTGCAACGATTTAGGTATCTACTGCCCCTATTGCCAGGAAAAATACACATTGTCACATTAAAGCAACACTTAATAATCCAGCCGCAGCATGCTGTAGCTAGCCCTGACAATGAGCTAACGCTAACACAAGCAACTGTTGCTAAATGAGCCACGAAGTAAAAAGATCCACACTGTTGGAGAAAAATGCAGCTTATTAGTCAAGTAGCAACAAAGCCAGGTCATCATCAGTCTGATTTGTAGCCTCCTTTAGCTCCCTCAAATGAGTGTGGGCCATGTCGATGTTCACTCTGGTTTTAGCTTTTTTGCTTTGCCGACATTATTCTCTTACTTTTACCTCCAGGCACTGCCTTGATGCCAACAGAAAAAGCAGATTTCTTCTTTTTCTTCTTC